GGGGGGAAAAAAGGATATGCTTTTAAAGGACTGCTACACATGATGGCATTTGTATTCATCCAGTCTTTATTATAATAATTTGAAACTGTTTTCATGCAAACTAATTATTTGCATGCATCTGTCCAACCAAAACAAATGCAAGCATAGCTTTGTTTAATGCTGCTCGAACCGATCCAAACACAGCTTTAGTAAAAAAAAAGTAAGATTGGGCTTCTCAGTAACACACAGTCCAAATGGATGTAACCTGAAACAGATAATGAATACAAAGAAAATCCCCTGTGCCCATTGTGAAATATGAGAAGCATTAAGGCATATTGTAATGGGTCTTTCAATTTCAAATTACTAGACTCAAATCTGTTGAGCTTAATTAAAATCCCTGAAGTTTTTCATTATTCATCTTTTCTATTAGGAATAGTGATGCAGGATATTAACAATTTCAACCAATACAGATATCTGATAATTTTCTGCTTTTCATGAACAATCCCAATTCCGATACCAATAAGTTCATATTTAATCTAATCTTGGAATAATCAGGGGCTTGTGGAGGATAGAACTATGAAAAACAAATTATCTAGTAGCTCTGACCTATCTATAACAGAAAACAAGAAGTTTTGGCTCTTCAAATGTTTATTTTTTTTCGTGTCATCATAAAACACTGGTCTTTGGCTTTAATTAACAGCAGCAAAAGACAATCAAATAAAAACACAAAGAGTATCCCTCGAAAATTAATTATTGAACTTATCTATGGTTTAACTGCAGAGGTATTTGTGAAGTCCAGTATTTCCACTCTGCTTGGAAACCTCTGGATTCCAAGCAGAGTGTCCTAACACTAGGCCAACACTCCACTTTATCCTATTGTTTACTTGGATTGACAACAAATCAAAAGGATGCTGATCAATCAATGTCATATGTCAATGGAGTTAATATGAAACACCTTAAATACCCATAAACTGCTAAAATAAAAACCTTTTGGAACTTGTTAGTCTGGAAAGAAACTTTGTAAATGCATAACATACGATGACGTCCCTTATTTTCAGGAACAATCCATGTTTTGGACCACCTGTCCCCAGGTAAAGCTGATTTGGCCATTTTATGAAAGAGTGGGAAAATGTTGTGTATAGACTGTTATCAGGACTGGAAGAGGGTTTGAGCATGTTGCTCACAGAAACAGCTGTTACGGTTGCTGGTTGGGCTGCTGTTAATGTAAAGATGAGGAACAAAGCCCCCTACTTTTAAAACAGAAGAAGAAGTGGAAATTCTTTGTCACAACGGTTGCTTCTGATAGGGAGCTGCACTGTGCTATGGTGTGTTAAAGGATTCATTTGAATTGGATTGGGATGATACTTGTGATTAATGTTTGGTTTATCATGAAGAAGTGTGGTTTATGTAAAATGCCACATAATATCTCCTTTAATTGTGTTTAATGCAGAAACACTAATATTTGGGTTTTCTCATATCTAGCCTTCCAGCTTTGATTCCTCCAATAAGCAGATGAGCAATGTAACTCTTTTTTGACAGCTATCAAATTCTGGTTTAGTTAGCCAAGCTGACCAGACTGACCCGTCCATACACACAAAGCATCCAAGTTTCTACTGAGTGTAAAAGCTCTTCTCTTAACACTTCCCACACACCAGTCTCCGCAAAGGAGTAAAGGCTTTGGAGCCAATAAATAATTCACCATTTTATAACTCTAGGAGTTCCCCTCAGTCTAATTTAAAAGGAGGATGTCACAAGACCAGTTAGGTTGTCATTGAATATTTTATTTGCAAATGAAAGAGTAATAACTCAGAAGTCGTAAAAATATACATTTTTTACTTGTGATATTTACATGGATTGTTTTCATCAAACGAACAAAGCATAAAAAAAGTCCTTTATTGTTTTAGAAAACCAAAAAAAGACAATGCACATCAGAAAACAGATGAAAGTAAAGTAAACAGAAGTGTTTTACATTTCCCTTTATTCGAGCCATGCTGAGCCTTGTCTGCCCCTGAAACTGAGGAAACAGCCGACCACAAAGTACCGACACACTCCGGTGATGAGCACAGCACACAGAAAAGTGCAAAGTACATGAATAAACATTTAAAAAGATGACAAAAATAAAGCTTAGAAATGATTTTGTGTTGATATATTTACAATTTTAGATTTTTTTTTATTACTTTTGGTTGATTACAGTTATGTTACATCAAAGCAAAGCATTCCCATTCGTCTGCTCGATCTTCAATGACATGCAGGTACCTTTTGCCATTTCTCTTTAACCTCTTAACCTTCACTGAGTTTGGATGTAGCCTCATCTGTCTTCTGTCTCAAAAAGCAGTAATACATCACATTCTTACACTGACAGACAAGGCCAAACCACAAATTGCTCTGCTCGATAGCTTTAATCAGTAATAAAATGCAACTAACAAAACAGAAAACAATGTCGCTACATGAGATTCATTTTGCCACTAAAGGATTAACTATTTAACTGCACTGCTGATAAGAAGACAATGTGCAGTGCAGACAGGTAAAAGTAGATGTGGAGAGGACGCTGTGAGCTGTGTGGTGTGTTAAGACTTTGCCCTCCTGTGCTCACTGAACTCACAAGAGACTTAAAATTCATTTGTTGGAAAAAGAGTGAGTTTGTCATTCCACAGAGGGGGATGTAGCGCAAGGGCTCATAAACTGAGGAATCTGCCACCTGAGACTCGCTGATGCAGGAAAGCAAATCAAAAAATCTTGGAGGAATTTAAAGCTGGAAGACTTGCTTCCCATCCTCCACCACCTATTGCTACTTTCATCTGTGGAGGAGGGAATTTCAATGACAAGCGCCCACAGCCCTGACTCAGAACCAATCCTGTTATAACTCTCCTGTTTTCCCTGTACCACTCTTGTAAATTCTCAAGCAAAGGGGGAAAAAGAGAAAAAATCCTTCAACATATGCTGTCAAGATTTCTAAGATCCATAGCAGTCTCTGTTTTAGTGACTGCTAGAATGTTTGGGTGTTTTTTACTGTATCTTTTTTTGCACATGTCCTCTGAGTGATGCCATGTCCTTTTCCGTGCATTTAGTATCCCGGCTCCATCAGTCAGCCGTAATACCTCCAGACATTCGATCCATCAAATTGATTCCAAAGGAACAGAAATAACAGGGAATGCTTGTTTGAGCTTTTGTTTGTGCAAGATGGTGTCGGCTTTTGTCAGGTGGGCTTGCATGTGCACACAACTGCATTTTTCTACACATCTCACATATGATATGTGCACCTGTTGTCGTGTGCATATATATATACACATTGTAATTGTGTGTGTTCGGTGAGATGTCATCAAGACAACCCAGGGCGAAGAGCATTCTGCACAGAGATAGCAGGGGCGTACAAGCACCCTCCAGAGCTGATGAGAGTTATGAATTATGGACAGCCTTTGTCTCAGAATGCCACCCCCACAAGTAAAAACATGACTGCAGCCTGAGAAGCCAAGTTCAATAGGCATGAAAACTAAGCAAAAGCTAAAACATACCGTGCCCAGTCTGCAGTCATGTACATTTCGAAAGAGGTTGCCTTGGTTGACTGCGTCCTCCGCCCTCGGTGAACGGACAAGATCAGATCGTGTGGGTGTGGCCTAAGGGCAAATACTGAATTTACATGCATACACCCACGCATACATGTTCACACACATTTACAAGCATATTCCCAGACATGCTAATGCACACACTCACAAAAAACCCGCCTCTAATATGAACAAAGAATATCCTCCTTGCTTAGATACACACTCTTGCTAGGTTAGTAGCAAAACAAAAAAAACAAACAAAAAATAACGCCCACCTTTGTTCCCAATTACCCCTGTGGTTAAGTCATGTGTGAAATCCAATGTGTGAAATCAAACAACACATCCTTTCCTGGCAGATGTTGCAGATTTAGACCTGAAATATGACCAAATCTGTCCTAATGGTGCAGAGGCAAGGGTGATGGGAATTTTAAGTGCTGAAATAACACAATAGGACAGGGTGGCAAATAGAAATGTTTCTTCTGGTTTACAATGTATGGACGAAGTGCATCAAAAAGTTCAACATTTTAAAAGGCTCCAAATATTGACAAGAAAAAAGTATGATGACATCATCAGCAGAGGATCAAGACGATTTCTTCTGGTGAGGATGTCATAGGATGTCTCAAATGTTTTGAGAACTCTCACTTGCACCCATTTTTTGGATTAAACACCCTTCTGATTTTTTTTAACAAAAACCCTTTGTTCTATTTTCTTTTTGACTGAAAATGATGTAATGATAAAACACGTAGAGTATGTGTAGCTTTAGAGAGAAGACGACTCCTTCTGTGACCTAAACTACTTTTCTTTTTTCTTTTTCTTTCTCAAATCTTTATCTCAAGAAACGTTGAAAAATTTAACTTTCCTGTTTGAGGAAATCGTTTATATCTAGAGAAATGCTGACTAGAGCTTGCTTTATGTGCTTAAAAATAAAACTCAAACCAAACCTGTTACTGAAACATGTAAAAATGTAAAAAAAAAAAAACTTTAAGACCTTGCCACCATTATACTCTAATAAGTATTAGAGGGTTAGATGGTGTCCAAATGGAAAGTTTTTTAAAACATAAAAATGAGAAACATGTTCAAGTAATATTTAGCTAAGTGTAATGATAAAGAATTTGTCAAATAACCACAGTCTGCATTTCCTCACTAAAGTTACTGAGAACAAATGCACCAGGAATTGGATGTTTTAGTTTTGTTTTAAATCCACGTTTTAGCTGAGATTAACTCAATAAAAGATTTAACAGAATAGTCAACTTTTTTTCCAGAAACAAAATAAAAAATTCTGGAAACAGACCATGAAGGATCAGATTAGTTATGTTTTTCTACTACACATCCTGTAATATAAAAAAAATTGCCTCATATTAAGATGACTGCTGACATCATTGCCATTAGTGGCATCAGAAAAAAAAGACAGTTTGACTTCACCTTGGATTTCTCACTTAATAATTCGTTATAAAAAGAAAAGCATTTTTTTTTTTTTTTATTTACCCTCATTTTTTAAAACAAACTGACATCCTGTGTATATATTTATCTGTATGTACAATATAAAACAAGACAGCCTACACAATTTACAGTACATAGTCCTGTGGCATGCGATTTTTTTCTCACCGCTCACTCTACTTGGTGCTCCCTCTGCAGCATCTCTTACTGGGATGTTTTTTGTGATATCAAGTGTTTCTGCTGGTGACCCTCAAAGCTGCATGTGAACAGAGACTTAAACACTGTTATAATGAAGATAAGGGCCGAGGGAGGTGGGCAGAAAAAAAAAGAGAGAAGGATTGCAAAGGCACACTAGATAGGCTACTTGCCATTTTTTCAGCTACTTTAAGTCACTTTGTATCTGAGAGGATACAATAATTGGGTTGCTTGCAGACAACAAGCATTAACCAAGCAAGTGATTGGGCAAAGCATCAATCAAGTTCCACAGCGCATTTAAGGATCCAAGGAGAGTGTTGGATTTCTCAGGAATCACAATCCTTGGTCTCCTTCTTTAGACAAACTAAAGTCAAACTTAAGAGATGTGCCTTAGAATGATGCCGTACCCTGAAGGAGACTGAAATTAATGGACTCTACCATCTTTGTACATCACACATTCATTGCAACAGATTTTGGCTTCAGTTAAGAAATGTAACTGGTAAAAAAAAAAAAAAATGATGCCAATCATAAGCCATCTTGGGGCTTTTTTGGCAATTCTTAAAATTAATGATTTACACTTGGCTGTATGTGACAATTTGCAACCTGCTCAGGAGGAGGAGACAAAGAAAAACAGAGACAAAACAAAAAAAAAGATTCTAGCTGTTCTAATAGATGCTTACCTCTATATTAAAAGTATCGCTATAGGCCTTATAAATGCTACTAAATTACTTAGGAGAATATTTGGTAGCAATACATGTAGATGTGGGAGGAGCAATAACAAGTCCATTTTTTGACTTCACCATCAATGCTACATCCTGGTAGTTAACAGCCCCACCCATTGAAGCAGTTGAGGCGCTCATGAGTCAGCCGAGTCCTTCTGTGGTTTCTCATGGGTTCCTTTGTGAGAGCACAAAAGACCGAGCGCATTGAGGTGGATAATTCACACGCCGTGCACCGTGTCTGTCCACATGGATGGGCAAAATTGGCCAGGCCCATGGGGGAGGCAAAGCGGTTTGTGGTTTTAGAGGAAGTTGTTGGAAGCAGCCATACAGAGGCGTGGAGTGACATGAATCAGAGGATCACCGCTCCCTCCTAGTTTCCATCTTTAAAAAAGAAAAATCCCCAAAAATCCAGCTTCCCACACAGTCTCTCTTTTTCCCCCTAATTTCTGACCTACTTATATTCATCTTGTACAAGTGAGGGTGAATGTAAGTATGTTTTTAGTTTCCTTTTCTCACTCTGACTGCATGCCTTAGCCTTTGATTTGATAAATAAATAAAGCTCTTCTGGGGGGGCCTTCCACCTCAATGCACATGGTGCTTCTCTGTACCATCCAAAGCTAAAAGAAGAAACTCAGCAAAAAAGTTCAGCCATCAGCCATGTGATCATTTTGCATCTCAGGCTTCTGCTTTTTTTTGTTTTGTTTTTCTTATTTTTTTTATTCGATATGGGCAAGCATCTTTAATATTTCACCCTTTAAATTATGCATTCATTAAAACTTCTTTTGGAATTATAGTTTCAATTTTTTTTTTTTAAATTACATCCTTTAAACTAGTTGCATTTCACTTTGTTTATAGAAGAGTCTCAGTCTTTGGGAGGGGGGGTTATGAGGCTCTTGGGAGGGGCTGGAGTCTTACATGGCTACAGGAAAGGACGTGACTTTCAGTCCTACACAGTCTGAAAGGCCTTGGTCTGGGCTGGAACCATGAGGGTTGGGGGTGTGGGCCCAGACATGTTCCTGGAGTTGAATTTTGGAGTGATAGGGGGCTCAGGAGTTTTGGGGGGGACCACTGTGGTGTAGGCTGGAGGGGATTGGGGGAAACCTGGAGGTTGTCCATTTTCCTTGAGAGCTGACACGGCAGGTGGACGTGGGCGGTGGCCACGCTGGGTGCTGTTGTGCACCATTGATTGGGTGGAGGAGGCGCCAGAGCGTGAGCTGCCAGAGCGAGATGAGGATAGGGAGTTTGGCTTCACCAATTTGGCCTTGGGAGCCTCGGCATCTTCCCTGAGTATTGGGAAACACAACACATAACATTTATTTGATATAAAAGGCAGCTCTTGAAAAAGAAGACACAACACTATATCATACAGCACAACACTCCTGAATTACACTATTCCAAGGTCTAAGGCACTGGGGAACTATAGTTTACCAGGGTCTCATGTAATTCATGAGATACCCCCAATCCTCATAGTTTTCTGAAACACATTTGCATGGAATAATGAAATCTGCTAGAACTCCAGCTCCCCTGACTCAACTATTGAAAGAAAGAAAAACAATGTTCTTAAACAAACAATGAAATTTCCCCAAATAAATCCCGGTTTGCTTCAGTCTTATTAGGACAGAGTAAAAACCAGTGAGAAAGCTAAAAAAAGAGCCGTCAGTCAGGCTTTTTAAGATGGACCATCCATAACAACAGGCCTTGTTATTTTTCTGTACACTTTCCAAAAGAAATCTGTTATAAGAAAGGATATGGAAAGCACCAGAATTTTGTAAAAAAGCTGCTCCTCTAAATATAAAGTCAGAAAATGCCAGTGACCATGCAAAAGCTTTGCACATTTTAGGATATTACTGTATCATACATTAAGTGCATCCAGAACAATAATTAATAGCATCAAAATTAAATGGATAAGGTTCATGGCATTAAATGTTAAAAGTTAGCAATATTATGCATGGAGCTCAGTCTTTGGAAGTAAATAAGTTTTTTTCCGTTTGAAATAGGAAAAATATTGGAAAATGCAAGGTTGAGACTGCCACGTTGCAATAGGACTGAAAATTACTGCATTTAGACAACATATTTTGAAGCAAATGTTAACAAGAGCACAAGAACTACATAGGTGCCATTATGGAATAGTTACAATATGACAACCCCAACTAAAGATACATCAATAACTGATATGTATATAACTATTAACAGTAAATGTTTAGCAGAATTATTACATAATAAAAAAAGTAAAAAAAGATATAAGTTATCTAAGCGATCTAGTTTGTATAATTTAAAATATAACTGTTTGCAAAATAGTATAACATATGAACTATCACTGTACTGATTGAATAACATTAATTTCTTGTTTTGGCTTGCGTTTTATTTTTGTCAAAAATATAGAATATAATGTACAATATCTACATTTAGTCACAAATGAAAATTCAACAAGCTTTTTTTTTTGCCAATTTAATCTTTAAATTAGGACAATGTTAATAAGTGGATGTTAGCTGCTCAAACTCTACTGTCCATATGTCTGTCTATTTAGTCAGTTGCTTAACTGGTATAGTATTACATTAGTAAATGCTGGGCGGATGATTGCAAATCTTCTAAAAGAGACAAATTAGACTTTTTTATAATAGAGGTAAACATTTAAATGTATTTGCCTTAATTCAGCTGAGCATGCAGCAACATGTGGGAGAGGGGTATAATGGCATAATTAGCATTGTCTATAGCATTGCACTTAGCATTGTCTCTGGTGTCTTACTTTAAGGACTTAATACCACCGCTTTCCACCCTAATCCACAGTTAAAAAACTGTGTCCAAAATTTCATTAAACTGTGTTTCAAACTGCAAAATAGTGATAGTTGATGAGAAAATTACTGAACCTGATCTCATTTGGGGTCTCTTCTTCTTCATACTTCTTTTTTTCTTTCTTCCGGAAGACGAGCCAAACAATTAGTATGACAACAAGGACGCCGAAAGATAATCCCACCACGAATCCCGCTACCATCCCAACATCCCTCACATCTATAGAGGAAAAAAAGAAAAAGTGATGAGAAACAGATTGATTCAGTCTCTGGTAAAATAATATTTCATTTTCCCCATAGTTCTTGCATTTTTTAATAATAATCTTTCACACACAGTTCTAACAGAAAGATTCACTTCTTCACTCGCCTCTTTGACTCTATAATTAATTCAAGGACATTAATTTAACACCAAGGCCTGCAAAGAATTTCTGCTGAGCTGCTAGATCTGTCGCCCCCCCCACCCCCACACATGACCCTGTCAGGGGACTCTGAATGAATGCCTCATTTTGACAGTGAAACATGACATCTGAAGCAGAGAGGGTTACCAGTGGCCATCTCTTTAAGTTTACTGCATTTGAGAGGAGGGTGAAGGGGAGGAGAGGAAGGGTGGAGAATAAATGTATTTGTAGCTGCAGTTTAAAACAATAACCATCGATCAGTGTGGCAGTTTAGTGGAGGTGAAGACTGCGAGGTCAAGTTCCCCCCTACAACTCACGCATCGTGACCTCAATGGTGCAGTTTTCCTCTCCCACATCGTTGCTTGCCGTGCACCTGTAGACACCCGTGCTATCCATTGTGAGATTCCTCAGGGTGACGATCTCTGGGTTCTTCAGATCTGCCAAAAAAAACTTTATATTATCACTGATGAACAGGGAACTGAATCATAAATAACAAAAAGCAGCAGACAAGGATGGAACTATGGGAATATTTTCCAGTGGTGTTCCATTAAACTCAGGAAGACCTGAGGATAGAATCAGGAATTAGTTTGATAGGGAGACAGACTCATGGGATATTTACTCATCTCCACCACTAAAGACCATGTGTTATAAGCTTTAACTAGAGCAATAAATAATGACTGATATTGCTGTGTGTTACTGTACAATGAAAAGTAATTACACTGAACAGGTGGTGCTTGGCTGATGTCATTAACTAGAAGATTTTTGTCTGGACGTGTCACAAAACGAAAGATGGACAGACAGACAGACAGAAAGATGCAAATACATAGTATATCTAATTTCATAAGGTGCTTTTTTCCGGTTGGACTATATAAAAAATTACTGCAAAACCTTTCCTTGTATCGTATAGGATTTCTCTCCACCTCAGCCTCGCTCCCAGAAAATGCTCAGTCCGCTTTTATGCTCACAACTATGATTCACTTGACTTGGCTTGACGTTTCAAATTCATTAGATCTCACTTTCAGCACAAATCCTTGTAATAAAGCAAGTAATCCTAGCAGAATAAAAACAGAACTCACAATGTGGTTCTGTTTGATTCCCAGGAAAAAAAGAAATAGCACTCATATTTGTTTAGTTTTAGGCTTATTGCTAGTACGTAGGGAGAGAATCAGAGCAGCCTAAACATATTAACTGATTACAGTATCAGTGGATGAAACAGGGAAACCAAATCAATGTGTCCCCTTGAGCGAAATGTTGTAACTTTTAATTATTCTTGTGAGGCTGCTAAAGGATTTGCAGAGGGAGAGGGAGGTTTGCCCAGATTTATGTGCCCATGTTTACAGACGTATGAAAGTAAAGAGAAGAGAGGAGGAGTTCCAGTAGTGCATTCATCAGAACCTTCTGAGGTAGTAATGCAGCTTATGAAAAGAAAGAATTCAAAATATAAAATAAATTATTATAGCATTTTGTGCAAAGGAACCAGATGGTGAATCAGCACATCATATCACTCTAGTTTTATCCTTCTTTTTTGGCTCTAATTTTCTTACCTATCAGCGCCAGGTTTGGCAGCTTGCCCAGACTCTTCCCTTTGTCAAGAACTCGCTCCCACTTGTAGCTAATGGGTTCTGAACCATCGATGGATTTACAGCTCAGCTTGACATCCTTGCCCTCCATAAGTTCTCCATCCATCCGGCATGTTGGCTTGGAGGGTTTCTCTGTTAGAAAACAAAAGATGGGCCCCAGAAAAGACAATATTAATCAAAAATAGTTGATAAAGTTTTTTTTTAAGGCACGTAACTCTTATTAGAAAATTTAAAATTTTTTTCAAAAATGGTAAATTACAAGCTACCGGTTAGTTAATAAAAATGTTCACCAGAAAATTGATTTTTAGTGTACTTATTACAGCTATAATGCTGTTATAAGGATACTGGATGGCCAATTCCTATATACATCATTTGAATAGTATTCTGAATTCATATGGTTATGGCATTTTGCACAGCTAATGGCGTAAGACAGTGAAATTTAGCTAAAATTGAAGGTATTTAAACATTATCAGTCTGAATGGCCTTATAGGACTAGTCCAAGCCAATATCTTATTCATGCAGGTTTCTGTCCGAGATCTTAAAAATATAAGCATATAGCATCAGTACTTCCAGTTTTGTCAGTGTCAGGACGTGGCTAACTTGCTTTCATATACATGATCTTTTTTCACTAAATTAGAAATCCAGATTGCTTAAAAGTGCTTAGAGATAGACAAAAAAATCGAAATAGGCTACTACTTATTAGTTCTTTCAAAGTTTGAACATAAATGCTGCATGTTATTCGCTATATAGATACTTTGTGATCACAAGACCTGAAAAAATGCTAGGGAAATATCACTTAGAGGTTAAGTATTATGGCTCAGTCAGGTAGAAGCCGATTCACCAATCAGCTTCCACCTGAGTCTTGGAAGAGAGATGACTTTGAGGGGACTGTCATCCTGTCATCGTCCACATGGCATCAGATAGCTTTTATATGTGAACTATTAAACTATGCTAACCAATCAGAAGTTTCCAAGTAAAGTTAGATGCTAGAAATATGAAACAAGAACTGAATCAGACCCCAGAAAACAACATTTTTGGCTGCTTAGAGTTCATGACTTTCTCGATTCTTTTTGGACCGGTTTAAATGACAGTTTTTGAAAAAGCAATTTCTATGTTTAAAAGTATTGAATTTTTATAATTACTATGAAAATTTAATTTAATTTAATTTTTTGTCATCTCTGGGTTGGTGTGGCCTATTCAGTTTCACTTAATTGGCAATGTGTACAGCTGATAAATAATAACCCATTTAAATTATGCTGGAATCTGCAGTAATTATTTTTATGTTTTCTACTGACTCAAAATTAGATACAAAAAAATTCTGAAACTTGGGAGAAAGTCAAAAAATGTCCATGTTCTTTGCTTTAATGTAATTGAGACCACTTGGTGGAAAAGTAGCATTTATTGATGAGATTGATTTTTTTAATGGTTGTAGGTCTAATTAATTTACAAAACTTAATGTTATTAAATGTAGATCAGCTATGCTGCATGCATTAAACATAATGAGCTAAGACTGGGGGCTTGTTTTAATATAATGGGGGCAATTTAAAATAAAAAGGAAAGAAATAAAGTCTGAGAAAAAAAGTCTACATCCAACCAATGAGTGGTTTATAGTTGCAGTATTCCCTGTATGCAAACGACAGGATGAAATTTAGAAATAACAATTTAGAACTACATTCACAACTTCAAATTGTTTTTTTTTTACTATAAAGGCAATTAAAACTATTCTATAAAAAAAGAAGGGGACAACTAGAATTCACATATATCTGCCATTTCTCTACAAAAGGTATATGTTGCAACACATTCCTTTGTAAATGGACAACTTTAATAAATCAAGACTGCATCTAAGCTTGTCTATTACAGCAGGAAGTCCACATTGCTAAAAGAGGACCCTGTACACACCCCAGTTTCAAATAGAAGTCACCTGAAGGTACAAAATAATTAGACTGATAAAAGCAGTGGAAAGCCTGCAACACTCAGCACCCAAAAGCAGTGAATGACAGGTAGACAGGGCTCCACAAGCACTGGGGACATTTCTGGAGCCCACAGCTTTCTCACTGTGTTTTAGAGTTAAAATGGTGAGCACTGCCCCAACCCAGCTTGGTACTGGGAAGTTGCTAGAGTATATATATATAAAACTGCTCATCTTTATGTAGCAAACACCTTTCAAGGTGCAGGGTTGATGTCAGCCTGAACTAACTAACTCCATCCTTTGGAGTGTTCACCATTTAATTCCTGATTAGAAAATTGGTTAGGATTTTAAGCTAATGACAGGCAGGTGATTGGTCATGACTAATCAAGCTGATTCCGACTAACAACTTTCTTAAAGCATCTGTACGATAAGAGGCCCATTCCTCCATACATCAGAGTCAAAGAAAGGTAAAGTGAAGCAAATATGTGTTTTTCCACATGTAACCGAAAACTGATACAAGAAACCTTAAAACATTTTCAATATCTGCAGAAGTCACTATTAAGGCTGTTTATGAGCAGTGAGGTAAGAAAAGGTCAAATCAGGCTCTCGGGTTAACCACAAACACTCCTTTTATGTTTTTGTGCACAAACCAACAAGAGCACCAGTCATTGAGTAGATAACTGTATGAGAGTTTTTAAAGTAGATAGTTTAGAAAATTTTCCTTCTACCATAGACCCTAGTTAATTTACTCTATGCTTAAATTTGATTGTTTTGGTCGGCCATTTTGAACTTGACTGTAAACTAGTGACACGATAAAAAAGGGCTTTCCAGAGGGAATGGACAAATAGGGCCCCAGACCAGTCCATGAATGCGTGTAGTAACATTTTCTCCACAGGTCAATAGTTTTGGTCATAGTCTGCCACAGCTGGAGGCACAGAGCGGTGGAGCTACAGCCTGCTGAGATCCGTTCAGCTGCTCTGCTTAGATTCTTGCTGAGAGGCACTGCCTCGCTATAAAAAGAAAATGGAGCACAGTTGTCGCCCTCTCTAGTGACATATTTTTATATGATTGGCGGACTAAATTTATATAGCTGTTTTGTGTTTTTGTGCAACTGTCAAATTAGCCATGTAGAGCTGTGTGTGCTTCCTTTTTTAGCTGTTTGTGAGCAAAGTCGGAGAATAAGTAACTCTGACACGGTAACATATTCCGGAGTATGTCAGAAGCAGGATGTCATCGGCTGCCTCTCTCAGCAAGCAATATAATGAGAGCTGCTGATTGAGGTCCACTGAGCATCTGTCAGCTCTGTCATGGTGAGTAAGTTAAAACTGCTGCAGAAGTCCTTAAAAAAGTTTCCTAAACTTGCACCACCAATTCTTTTCCCTCCTAAAGCCCAAAATCTCCACAAGAAAATTCAAACACTCAGTCAAGCAAACAGTAAACACCTTGGCATGAGTGACCAAGCTTGCACATAATGCTATACGCATTGGCAAGCAAACAAATGCAACCACTCGCATTCACTGTCTCACATCAAGCCAGCCACAAGTTCAGCCGCCAAGTTATTATCTTAACGCGGGGGAGCGGGAGGAGAATCTCAAGACGTTCGTCTCTTCTCTGAAGCGAAAGTGTCATGGCAGAGCTGAAGGCAATTTGTAAAAATTGAGCCTCTAAGTCACCAGAATGTCTTTATGGAACTGAGAGGAGAGTGTGAGCAGAGGATTAACAGACTGCTCCATTAGAAAACCAATAACTGCTGGTTGAACTAATCTCCCGTGATGTTTTATTAAATCGCCTGCTTTTCTGACATTGAGAACAATCTTGTTCCTCCCACTGGACGTTATGTTAGGATCTTCTGGCAGAGCTTCTATTCTTCTTTTGCTACCTGTCCTTGAGCACAGTGGAGCTACAGCTGTGGTACAGAACTGATGAAACATGATTCTTTTCTATTTTAAAATGTAATTAAACTATGTTCATTAAATTGGGAAAAGCAAACCATCAGTACTGTAAAAGTTGCATTTGCCTGTCTGTTGTTTTATCCAGTTTTGCTTCAGATATGCTTTGGATAATCAATTCTAAATATTAGACAAAGTTGACCTGAAAAAATATTCCTTTTAAAAACAGAAAAAGTATCCTAATCCCATCAACAACTCATCAAGGAGTTCACAAATCCCCCCAAATCAAAAGGTCTGCTGAGTTAAAGTCAACGTCGATTGTTCAAAGTTCAACAAATGGAATGAATGGAAAAGTTTGAGACAAATAATAAAATAAAGTTTGTTCCTTTATCAGAAAATCCACCAGTTTCTTTTATTGAGGCAAGGAAAACTTTTTAATAATTGCGGAGCAGGGAAAAGCACATAAGCAAGTCTACTTCCGAATGATGAAAAAAAAAATATATACGGTAATACATTTTGAAATAATCTATTCAGACCATATTTTAATAAATATGAGAGGCTGTTATTTGACCTTGTATTAGAAAACATTTAAAAAATTTTAACAAAGAGAAGGTCAGAATTCCTTCACATCAAATCCCTCAAGTTATTGCAGCTTTTGCTGACAAAAGAATAAACAGTAATTGTATGTACAGGTTTATTAGCATTTAATGTAGCCACACATTTTTCCATAGATTTTCTTTTACTTTATAGAGAAAATTATGATTCAGAAATTGCATTCTTTCTTAATTGAATGTATTTTCTGATTAAAACTGTGTCAAAAGAAAATGCAGGAAATCTCTTAGGGGACTGAAACTTTTTTCAGAGTGCTGCATCATTTATCTAACAGGGGATGCTATGTACTTTTGAATTTACCAACATATCTGCTAGTTTGACCCTGAATTCATCCTTTGAAGCTTACTTCTATGTTTTTTTTCTGTCTCAGCTCATCAAGAAACCAATCCAAACGGACCCAAACAGAAGAGACAAAATCAAATCACAACGTCTGTATCAAATCGAATCATTAGATCAGTTAGCATGATGGAGGAAATGTGCCAGTCTAATGATCCTATGATTATGCCTACATGTGTATGTGTGTTATATTCTTTGTGTGTTTTCATTGTAAATGAGTTCTGTCACATCCTAATGGCATGTTTGTGAATCTGCATGTGCATTGTTTTGAATATTTCTGTTGAGTTCATCATTTTAGGATGAGAGTGTGTCTGCAAACACACCCAAAACAATAAGGTTGACCTGGCTCCAGTGGTATTTTCCCCCAGTCTTGACTTTACAGGAGTACTCCCCAGAGTCGGTCAGAACCAGGTCACTGATCAGCAGAGAGGCGTCACCGCCCAGGTACTCCCCGGCAAAGGACAGGCGGCTGGCCTCACTCCCAGTGGCCTCGTTGGTGTAGACCTGCCCTCCAAAGAAGGTAATGATCTGCATGTTAAAAAAAAAAGATGTAATTTAATACTGTAAAATCACTCTGTCTTCTCTGTCACGCAGAGACGCATCTAATATTTTATGAAAAGAGTCAAATCATATCTGCTCTCTCACTTCCTGACAAGTATTTTTCCTATTATGAGTAACAAAAACAAGAAAGCCCAAGTTCCCTCTTGAACCTTATATTTACATCGGAAATGTTAGTTATGTTATTACTGTAAACATTACTCCAATTCCTGTCACTTAGCCCATTTGCCTAACTAGATTTGTCTCATGAGGAACACCCTCAATCTAGTTAACTGGTAGGCAGCCAGGAACATTAAAAATTCCATAATTCCAAAGATGGTTCATGCACGACTGGTACATAAGCATAGCGCCGCCTCACTGTCTGCTCACAGTGTTGAAAAATTCAGATCCCCAGTAACAATGTTAACAATTACTTTATAATCAACCCTGGGACGGAATATTTTACACATGAATGCATCTGCTGAGATGCCGAGACTTTAGTTCTGCTGATTATTTGTGAGACCTACTATCTCCTTATGGTCTTTGCACAAGCAAAGCTGTCAAAGTAACCATACAAAAGGACAGAAAATGTATTCAGCTGCTGATAAAAGATTAAGGCACCCACTGTGGCATAGATGAAATGTTGAAGCAGAATAACAAGCCACAAAGAAGCATAGCAAAGTGCATAATGTAACACACTTATTTTTCAGACAGCACATTTCACATTGCCTTGCGTGGCCATTAGTTTTTTTTTGTCACTCTTTATTATTCATCTGTAAAAAAACATTAAAAAAAACAAATGAAAAAAAAATCAGTTTCTCTGCTGTGTTACCTAACGCAATAAACTTGATAATGTAGAGCAGTGTTTTGTGATAGCATAAGCAGTTAAGTGTCACAATTCATTTAAGGCTGCCAGTTTAGAGACTTGCATTCTTTGTTTTACTGTAATGATGCAATGCTATGAAGTAGAGTAATTAATGATTAAAGTAGAAAAAATGTCAGTAAAAGGCTAAAAATAGTACTAAACCACTGATTAGCAATGTAAGCATAAATCTTACAACAAACGCATTATAAAATCTCTAAATCATATAAATAATGTAGAAGGAGGGGGATGTGAATTTCAACTCTGGTACAGATTTTGTCTGTTGGGGAAGCTTATATTAGATAATTGTAAAAAAAAAAAAATAAATAAAAATCATGCCTTGCTATTTGTGTATGCATGTGGTTTGGAAATCTGCTTAGTACAACTCAGGCTAAAAGTTGAGGGTATCTATAATGGCAGTTTTTATGTTTCTTTGCTTCAAATTGAGAAAATTAGGTAATTGTTTAAACCTCTTATATAGTTTCAACAAAGAAACATTTGAGCTTTTAAACTTTATTTCATTCTGAGTAGACTGTAAACCCTTCCTGTACCAAATATGCTCATTTATATCAAATATATACAATAATGTTTAGATGCAACACTGAAAAATATTTTGAAGGTGGGTAATTAAAGCACATTGAGATTGGTTAAAGTTGTTAACAGCAGATCAAAGCTTCACATATTCTGGCACTTAAATTTCACTGGATCATCACTTAACTTCAGAATTTTTGTGATCAAACAAACCAATTTAACACCCATCTTTAGGTTACAGTAGGCAAAAAAATCAGTGAATTGTACTGCTTCAACTGTATCAAGAGGAAATAACAGATGAGTAATGTGACTGTAGGCATGTTCATTTTCAACTCTTTAAACGTTTCTTCTCGGCTCCGTGTTCCTCTCCTTTTTCTCTGCTGCTCTATCCGCATGCACAAACACAAACAAACACTGCTGTCACAGTGGCCTATTACTCAGGGCAAGTGAGAGCCTGCAGATGGGGCCTGCTAAATGCTGGTGCCAGAGTACATCAGCGCCGAAGAAATGGGGGCACCTGCTGGGACCACAGGTGACCACTGGCCACTTACACATGCATATACCTAGCTCCTCACACACACTAATATCTAAGGGCACTCTCCATAAATGTAAACAGTCATACATTGTGGTGGAAAACATAAACAAACGTGGCACTATCATAAAATATTTTAAAGATATTTGCCTATGGGCCTTCCTTTGATGCTTTTATGAACTGTGGACATGTATTACTCATACATATGTGAGCACAGACTGCTCCATATGACTATGTGTATCTAGGCCGCCGGTTATGTCTGGGTGTAGACTGCAAACACTCTTATGAGACTGAGATACCAAAATGCCCATGAGTGCCAGGAATCAGGTTAAAAATAACGAAATGACCACAGGCTGTTGATATAATTTCTAATTAAAATGAGGTGGTTTGTTTATTCATCGTGAACTAAAATACTTGATGAGATATTTCCCCCCCGCCCCGATGCATTCTTCAGGTTTAATTAAAGAAATGTGAAATAAACAAATGTCGTGCATCCATGCATTAATCTTGTATTGCCAATTAGGCCTCCAAAAGAATGTTAATGAGATTATATAAGGATCATTTTTCTTTTTCTGTAAAATATTTTTTTTTTATTATTTATAGTGGTGTTCCACTGTTTATATACGGCTAAGATTCAGAGTCGTTCTTTTAGTGAAGATCAGTGAAACCGGATGAGATCAAAGAGTACCCCCACCCCCCCAGTTCACATGAATATTTCAGTTAGTTTTAGCCTTAAAACACCTCAAAAAACTCAGGGGGGCTTCAAATCACTGTGTGTGTACTGAATGCTTTTTAAAACAAGAATAATTTAGACTATTTTTATAGTTCTGTTTAATTTGAACATAACTTGATGACAGCTCTATATTATATCAGTGTAACACACATATGTACTGAACTGGTGCTCATTGCTTCCTCAACTCTACAGCCGCTACCAAAGTAACCCAGATCTGTTATTCGAGCATGTTGGGTTTGTAATAAAATGGGATAGATAATATCCACTCAACCACTTCTTGTCAACTTTCAACTTCTAATATCCAGAGAAGTTAATATTCGTCTTGGTGGCTAAAGCTATTTGTAGCTTAGCTTTGAGAAGCTTTAGTTTTACATAGTTTTGATTCGCAACATCGCTTAATTATTGGTTTGTCATAGAATGCAGGAAAGGTAAAAACACCCTTTAAATAACTTATCAGTCTTATTCGCTTGGATTCACAGGGGTAATAGACTGTAACCATTAACCATGAAATTGCTCAAATGTTAAGAGGAAAATGTATTTGCCGGATGGAAACACTGCAATTACATCACAAAGATCAATTGATTTGCAACTGGACCTTACTGCCTTGTAAAAAGATAAAGATAAAGATAATTTGTTCCTTTTTTGACAGAGCCATCTATTTACTGTTACCTTTTTAATAAAGCTTATGAATAAGTGCTTTTATGCTCTTTTTGTAAGTTTGCTTTTGTCTCCTCGAACCACAGGTTGGTCTTCGTTTAAAGCTCCTCACACTGTGCCTGTTTCTGCTGGAGGTTTCTTCCTGTTAAAAGGAAGTTTTTCCTCTCCACAGTTGCTGCATGCTTGGTGTGAGGAATTGCTATAGAGTCAAAAATAAAATGCAAGCAAATATTGTAACAAGCCCATCCAGGAGGAGTGAATCCTGATAAAATCAGCTTAGTTTCCTTCAATAGAAAAACTTAAACTAATGTGACTGCATAGCCAGATTAAATCTTTTTTGAAAAGTGCCTTACGATAACATTTGTTTTAAATTGGTGCTTTACGAATAAACTGAATAGATGTGAAATTATATGAATTTTGCAGAAACTTGTGTCTCAACCTCTAATGTCCAGACTCATTAACATAAATGGTAAAGCTAAATATTAAAGAGTAACCCCATTTACAAATACTGCCTCTAAGTAGAAAAGAGTGACTCATTCATCAAGCTGTAGGCTTGGTCTCATAATCAAATTTTTGAATGTTTGATTTTAATTAATGGTGCCTTCAGTACCATCATCCCTTTAAATATTCATCACAATATGGTAGCTTTTTTCTGAGATCATTAAAAAGTAACACTTGTTTTATTCATGTCTTTTTATCGGAGCTCTTTTTCTTCTGCTCTATGTTCCACAGTTTATCCATTTTGACAGTTTTACATCTCAAAAAGATTCTGTCTCCATTTCTTTAGACATTAGTGAGAGTTATGCCATCTTAAATCTTCAGCATTATAAAAAACTAAACTAAAACATAAACCACATAAATGCCACAGAAATTATTATAAAAGACAACTGACATGTTTGGAAAAGCAAAATGAATATGAGATTTAAAATGTAAGCGGAAAACAGCAGAACCTTTTGAGTGAATCACAATCTAACAATTTAATGATCACAACCACTGTTAAGGAGTTTGATCATGAGAAAATCGCTTTCTGTGATGGAAAAATTTAATTTAATACTGAAGTAAATATATTTCATGTTTTAGAATTTTTTTATTAACCTTTTTTTTTTTTTTTTTTTAATCATTTTCACAATATTCTACAGTTTCCAGGAATTTCTAAAAATGTATACATGGAATATTTTCAACATTTCTCAGCTCCACGTTTCATGGAAAGATGGACTTTGTGCAGGGCTCTACTCATTTTTTTTTATTTCATAATATGTTGTTGAAAAATCTCCCAGTGGTGACTCCTATTGTTAAAGTAAAAAACTTTAGTGCCATAATAAACCATATTTCAGGTGTGTTTCAATCACTTTAGTTTCTATCTTTATAAACTTAATTCAAAGCTAAGTTTTTCTATACTGTCATAACTTTTATTGTGATATAAAATGATCAATGTACCTCCTGTGAATGAGATTTTTTTTTCTTTAAAGACTCTTTGATAAGGTTAGTAGTCTTTTGGTTGTCTATCATAGTTATTTTCTGCTTGCTGTTGGGGTGCTGAAAAACTGGAAGGTCTTTGCATGTAGGGAAATTTTTTAAAACCATAATTTCATAGCTTATTTTTGCCTCGTATCTTTTTGTATTAGTTGAATCAAAGCATTAAATCATAGTAAACTGTGGCTGAGAGGTGATTCCTATATTGTATCAATGTTAGCAGCTAATATCTCATCAATTTTTCAGATTACCAAAAGCTATAACATTGGATATACATTTTAAAGGCGACAAAGCAAATATGCAACAATAGAAGACATAAAAAAAGCAGTTCTGGAATAATAAAGACAATAAAATCTTGAGTCTTTTAACGATCAGTCCAAAGTAGCTGCTACATCTTTTAGTGAATTGTCTTTAACAAAATAACCTTTCAAATAACTTGTCCTGTTGCTTTATCACCACTAGTTTCCTTAACAATTTTAAGAACTCTACATAATTACAAACCTAAATCCAACAATAAGTGACATTTTACAGTTAATAAATGTTTTGAAAAATTATTATATATTATTATTAATAATGTTTATATATTTGGTAGTTCTAGCTTCTATGCAAAAACAAAAAGGCCAACTTCCAGACCATTAAAAGAATTGCAGCCGTGTTTTTTGGCAACTAGTCCATAATCAATATATAGCTGAGGGGTTTTTAAGACAATGGAAAGAAACTAGATGAAAAGAAAGGAAGAAGTTAAAAATAATCAAAATCCTTGGGTAAGGAGCAAGCAATGACTATTCCCAACAGCAATTCATCTTGTTATGGTAAAAGAAAACTATTTCCAACAATAAAATAAGATGAGTTAATTCACAGAGAGTAACAAATCTTACCACTTTCTGCTTTGAGTTAGGTTTCTGCAGCAGCCACTCGATGTCAAGAGAGCCAGAAGATTGGAATTGGTGGTGGCATGGTAAGGTGGCATTGTCCCCAACAACCTTCTTCATCTCTGTCTGGGCCCCCACTGACAGCAGGCTGAACAGAACTGAGAAAGGAGAGAGGAAGAGATGCAAAAGATAGCGGTGAGATGTCAGGTCAGAACAGTTACCTAACTCTTGAATGAGAGTGGCAGGTTATTTAGGTAGCAAGTAAATAATAGAGATAGAAAACTGCATTGGAAGATGCTAACAAGAACTCTACAATCAGCTAAAAAGGATAATGGCAACCAATCAATATATCATATATGTCTTTACAAAGGACAATAAAGAAAGAAAAGGTTTTCCAAGGAGATTGATATCAGCATAAGTGGTCAAACAGACGTACAGTATGAGTATGACAGCAAGAGGAAGATCTCAGCATTAGCTGACGTTTTGGTCTTGCGTACTGCCATCACACATGCACTTTCCTATTAGCAAATAATACCAGTTGTAAGATTTTGTGAGATTCAATCAGACTTCTGCACACAGCTTCAGTGAACTTTACAAACACAACAAATGCCTAAAGCTTCCACAGTATTTAAAGTTGAAGCCTCTGTTGCATTAAAGAAAGAATGTATTGATTCAAAGTGCGTGTATGCACATGAGAGTAACTTCAGGCACTGGCCAGATTGGCAGGACTTGTGGGAGAGCACAGAGGCTAATTTATTGGAGGATACTGGACCGCCCCGTAGGCTTCAGTAGAATTAAATAAAGGCGTCACTATGGTTAGCTGGAAGCTGAAATTATAGATTGTGTGCGTGTGTTACTGGTAGATACCCTGGGTCCGAAATTGGTGACTCATTTCTGAGGCATTAAAGTTCCTCCAACTGGTACAATAGAGCACACAATGCTGCAGAGCTCAGCTAATCTTACACAACAAAATGTCTATTTTTGGCTACATGACATTACATGGAATGGCCTATTTTTTAGTTAAATACCAAGTGAAGCAACAGCTTAGAAAGCTCCTTAAATAAGATGCATTAAATGCCCCATTCTTATAAGTTTAAATGGAGCAAAAATGCCAACAAGATATAAAAGATAAGCATCTATCATGTCATTCACATCATGTATTTTTTAGAGGTCTACATCTGCTCTGTGACTCATCCTGGACATACTGACAGTGAAAATGCCTTTGTATGCAGCAGACATAATCATGGGCTGTCAAATGTTCCTCAGAAGGCCAGCCCTCACTGGGCCGCTGTCCACTTGTTTACTGGTCCAACCTCTCAGGAGCCAACACCCTGCCCCATAAGTGATCTCTGGGCCAATGAAAATGTCAGTACTGCACTCTGAAAGCAGTCAGTGTTCATGAAGGAAAAGAGCAGCTTTAAGAAATCCTCTTCCTTCTGCAGTCTGCGCAGATGGCATCAACATTGACTAAAGTTTTGTTTAAAGTTAGTTATGAGTTATCCATATGAAACCAAAGTTTGACATGTCTCTTTGATAGGGATAAAGCAAAAGTTTTGCACTGTGGATAGACCGTTACGCTGCCATTTTGTTTTTACTTGACCGGCCCTAGACAATAGCTGGCCAGTCATAAACCCAAAAACCTGATCTTTTTTTGATCATCTCACAAAAACAGAACTAGGATGCCTTAATACAACAACTCTCTTCAGTGCGTGCTGATGTTGGTAGTAAGTGAAAAAATCTAAATTCCTTAAAAAACCCAAATTTTTGTATCAATAAAGCATGTAAATGTTAAATGAATGGAAATGCCAAGCTGTAAAAACCTACTGTATGAAGAAAAATCTTTTTTCTGCTTAAGCATGTGTGTTGTATGTTCATGATCCAACAACGACTAGTACAGACCCCTGTTACAGTAATGTCACAATAATGTATTAATTGCTTGTGTATGTTAACTGGTGAAGAGGAGAATTTACCAGGAGATGACCTCAGTCAAAATCAAAGAGGCTGAATATAAAAAATAAATTAAAAAAATAACATTTAATATTGAACTGATTAAGCTTTCAGCCTCTTTTTCTTATTGTGGCTTTTTAGATTTTAAGAAAAAAATGACAACCTTTTGAAAATCTACCAAGTTAAGGTAAATCTCTTGTAAATTATCTTGTAGGTTCACAGTAAATAATGCTAACCGGTCTATAACATATTATCATTGAATAGTTTGCAAACTAGTTTGCAAGCTGAACAGAAACATTGTACAGTTTGTCTTAAAGTGCCTCACAAGCGAAGGTGTTAAATCTAGAAGAATTCTTCTATCTATTTTGCAACACAAAACTTCCACAATAAATTACAATCTTTTATTTTCCTTTGGTACACTTGTTCTCATCAGTTTACACAAATAAAAGAAAAGACGGGGCCAACCCCTCATCGAGGAACTCCTAAGCCATGAAGGTATTCCTTTTTATGACTTATTAATGCCACATTTGCAGGGTCATTCATCTTGTAGGCTCCCCACCGATATTGGTTTGGAAGAGAGGGCTTTTCAGTGCGTAGAACTCTTGGGAGTGAGAATACCCAGACATGTGTGTGAGCGCAGCTGGTTGAACCTAATGGTGCGAGTTAATGTTTGGTGGTGGCAGGGGGATCTGCTGGGAAACCTGTACCCACAGTCTCCCTGCAGCTCTTTAAGCAAGCCTCTGTAATCAGTGCCCCTGCACTAATTAGCAGCCCAGGGCTTTACCCACTGCAGAGTGGGTGGTCTCAGCTTACCTTATTTCTCATGTTCTGCTGCCTAAGCTTTTGATTATGTTTGTAAACTGTTTATATGACTGAGGATATTAGCAATTTTCATCCAGAATTATTTAACTTTTCAGAAACTTACAGTAAATGTACAGTACAGGTGCATAATGACTGCCCAAACTATCGTAGGGTTTAGAGCAGTGATTCCCAACAATGCAAAGCACTCACGGACCCAACAGTGGTCCGTGAGTGCGTTGCAAGGGGTATATGAACATATTTTATTTATCAGGTAATAAAATAGTCTGATTTGGTCTTCTTTGTGAGGACCCAACTAAAAAAAGTATGTTTTTTCTCATATGTCTGAGTTCACCTTCAGCTTTGACACAATTAAAACCAAGCAGAGGAACAGACTGGATTTAGAAAACATCCTGGTATCAGCTGTTTTCCCACATCTGAGCTCATCAAAGCAGCTCAGGTGTGAGGTGTGAGTGTTCAAAACAAAGTAAAACAAACGGAGTCAGCCTGACTATTATTTTTGTTCAAGATTTTGTCCCTAATTTCTCAAGATTATATCTGATTATAGGGGAGTTACTCAGAGAAGCTCCAGTTTTATAAAGGCAGATTTATAGTATGATTTTATTTTGTAGGCCTATTTATTTTCATTCTTAACTAGCTTCCAGGCAACATATTTATGTCGTTTTTTTATTTGAGTTTGAATGAATAAAATTCCAAAGAATTAAATTCTGAAGTTAATAAGATTGAATAAAAAACTTTTTATTTTAAAATTAGCTATTGTAATTTCAAATTTTGGGCAGTCATCAATACTTTTGACTGAGGGGGGGTATTCATGCTAAAACAAAATGCCCAAAGCGGTACACAAGTCCAAAAAGTTTGGGAAACACTGGTTTAGAGTACCATACATACATGGTTTACACACAAAGGCCTGCTATGCTAGTATTGAAAATAATATGTAGAGGTTATGTTTTTTTTTTCCCCCTACACAGGAACCATTTATGGTCATTTAAAAGGGCTTATGCAAAAGGGAGAGCCTAACATGGCAACTCTCCAAAAACAGGTTACCTTGATGGAAGTTTTTAGATTGTATTTGAATTGGCCCCTTTCTCAATTAACACAGCTGGGCTATCTGGACTGTGAGACCTCACCGTATGAGTAAACAACAGTGTACCCAACTAAACTCATCACTGTGGAACACTTTGCACTCATGTCATGAACATTTCTGTATTGCTTCATGACCTTGGCTTTCAATTTGCTGCAAAGTCACTGAGAGACAATAAAAAACTGGAAACATTTTAGCATCAGCTTGGAAAATATTCCTTGTCACAGTTGCGTGTATGCATTCATGCATTTTTATGAGATTCCACACGGACTTGAGAGAGGCCATCAAAATGAATGTGGCCATCTTGAAGGGGAGATAAATGTGGAGAGGCCTTGCGATAGGGTATTGGTGCCACATCCTAACCCAAATCCTATATCCCACTTTCTCTCCCATTGTGTCTTCTTTATTCCCTGCTTTTGGATAAGCTTTTTGCTTTGTGGAAAGTTTCAATCTCTGCACTCTGAAAGAAAGAAAAGCAGCATATCACAATTAACAAAAGTGGGAGCTAACATCAGAGGTTTTAGAAAGAGAGAGGGTGTGAGGGAGAAAGATAGACACATTTGACAAAGCAGGAGAGAGAGTGAGAAGCTTGGGTGAAATATGGAGGAACCAATTTCTATGAAAGGGCCCTAGGGGGAGTTGTGCTCCAGTAAATCCGCCTTACAGAACCCTGCAATCTCATTATAGTGTAGCCAGTGAGACGGACAGACAGACAAACAAGACAGGCCTGGATCTTTCACAGTGCCCCAAAGTCAAGCCCCATATCCCCCCAGTCAGCACATCGGCCTGGCTGGGGCCTTTGCCATGTCCAAAGCTTTATGACCTCTAGTACTCAAACACAACAGCTCAAAAAGGGAAAATGAAAGGACAGAGAAAAATGGGCTGAGGGAGGGGAGGGAGGAATGGTGCATTGCCTTATTTTGAGCTCTAACACCAGGCTAAGTCACTGGTGTGGAGGAAGGATTATAGCATCACAAAGGTGGTTTTAGATACAGTAAACCTAAAGCACAAAGATAAATATAGGTTGGAGGTACCCTAGATCACAATTTTCTCTTTGTGAGAGTATCTCTCTGTGCACCAAATTACCATGCAAAGCATACCTGTTCCTATATTTGACACATGAATTATGGGAAAACATTCTCTGTTGAAAAGACAAATCAACAACTGCCCAGCTACAGCTCAGACAGAAGTAACTTTATGGAACAATAAACTGGTTCCTTGGCAATAAAACCAATACTAGTTTCAAACAAACACACCCTACTGATGTTTGAGTGACACCTGGAGTCTCATTGGAACGGGCAAAACAATTAC